GTGCTGGGATTACATATTATTTTTCAGACACAAGGTCCTGCTCTGCTGTCCAGGCTGGAGTGCAGTGGCATGATCGTAACTCACTGCAGACTGGAACTCCTGGGCTCAAGCAACTCCCCCAACCCCTCGCCTTGGCCTCCCAAAGCGCTGGGATTACAGGTGTGAGTTACAGTACCTGGTGCATTTGGGTTGGGGGAGATATATTGGTTATGATAAGGGCTGGCCATGAAAGGGGTGCTGTGCCAGTCACCTGCCTGTGTTCTCTCAAATCCATTTCCCACTCCCTCCCAGTTCACTTTGTATTCCAGAAAACAACATTTCCCACGCTCCACGGCCCACTGGCTTGTGGCTGGGTTTGTGCAGTTAAAAGGGACGGCAACAGCTGAGAGGACCAGAGCAAGGGAAAAAGCAAGCTACTTCTCCCTACCCCTCTGCTTGGGCAGCATCACAGGACAGGCGGTAGTCACGTCTCCTCTATGGCTCCAGCTCCTGCCAGACAAGTCCTCCACGACTGCAGCTTCAACCTGGTAGTCCTGGCTCCAGGGAACTGGTAATATCGGGCTCTCTCTAGCACACGGAAGTGAGAGGCTTCCTATTGAGGCTGATCTTAGGGTTGCCTCACCTGTTCCTATTTGGTATTTTTGTTCGTCCATTAACCCAGCACACATTTTGTGTATTAACTCCCCTCTGTTTGACATGTATAGGGATGCTTGCTGATTGCCTGACACAGGTGATACATTGCTCCTGATAGGTAGGAGGTGCATGGGCTCTGGCCTGGAAAGGAATAAAGATTCAGGAATTTAGTCTGTGGAAATGGAAAGGTTTAGGGCCACCTAAAGTAACAGGAAGTTTCACACATGCCGACATTGAGCTAATGAGGCAACACCACTCTGTCTGGGCCTTCGGGAAGGCTAGGGAGGGTTTTATGCCTGTACGAATGTTTCAGCCAAATATCAACACCCAATGATGTCCACGGAGAAATGCCACTTACATAGGTGAGCCACAGGGCTGAAAAGATGGATCCAGTCTATCACGTTATTTCCTGCTAACTTTAAATCAAATAGTTGGGACTCTGGGGGAATGACTCACCCATAGTATTTGGAAAGGCAGAGCTGGAAGGGATCTTCTTCCAAATTATATGCATGAGAGCACTAAAGCTCTTATCTGTTAAAATGATTTGCTCAAGGTCACACAGCTGGCATAGCCAGAGGCGAACTCCTCTTTCCTGATTCCAGGTCCACAGCTGTTTTTACTCATCTGCTGTTTTTTACCACTCCCCATGTTTCAGTTCATTCCATGCAGGTTTGGTCTTTTGGTAATCACAAGGTTATGAACAAATTTGAATGAGTTTATGAGTTTGTTCCCCATCCATAATTTCTAATTCTGAACTAATAATAATGAGCATGTACTCATTCTAAAATAACCAGTTTGGACTAATTTTTAAATCAAAGTAATTTAATAAACAGACATTATATAGTTAATTGAAATGCAGGTAGAATTCAGGTAGTACATACATTCTGCCTTGTTAGTGAAAAAAAAAAAACAGCAAAAAACCTCAAGCCTGTGGTGTTTACTATTTCTTATGCAATTAGCCTCTATGAAATCCTATACATGCAACACTTCTATATTTAGAATGAACACCAAGGGTTTAGGATTAAAAAAAAAATACCTGAGGCAAAGACTTTAGAGACATTATCTGTTTAATAAATATGATTGTAAAAGCAATAAACAAGAGCAATTATACATTACACTACATAGTATTTAACAAAAAATACATCAAAAAAGTCATTTTAAAATTAGAAGTAGTTCCAATACTATAAGAAAACTTTCTTTTTTTTTTTTTTTAAATTGGCTTCCTATAAAAATAAGTCGGCAAATGAGAGATTTCAATGCTCAGTTGGATTCCTGGAAAACACAGAACAGCTGCCAAGCACCCCATTGCTCTCAAAGTTGCTGTTTGGAACTTCTGAAAAAAAGCAAAGCAAACCTCTGCATTTTGGACAGTGAATCCAATTAAAAATAAGGCAAGGGAGAAAGTGTTGCGTGGGTGGTTCAGGGTAGAACATGCACAGTTTGCCTTCTGGGATTTTGGAAAACGTTGCAGTATCGGATTTTTAGCTTGCCCTGAATCTTAGCTTCCACATACATTCCTCCCTACACATTCCTCTGACCTTAAGCCCACCAAACTCCTTGTGTGTTTGCACCTGCGATTAGTGAGTAGGTAGGCACTTAGGTCCCTCCCATTTGTAGGCTCTCATTACTGCCTTCTCTTTGTGAGTCAGCCGGAATGGCCTAGTACAATGGTTCTCAAACTTTAGTATGTATCACAGTCACTGGGAGGGCTCGTTAAAATAGATGGCTGGGCCCACTATCACTTAGCAATAGAGAACACCACTACTCATCCCCTAGAGTTTCTAATTCAGTAGGTATGGAGTATGGATCCAGAATCTGGATCTCTAACAAGCCCAAGTGATGGTGATACTGCTGATTCAGGTACCACACTTTGAGAACAACTGGCCAAGGTCATAAGAACAATGAGGTCCTCCTCTCTGAGCAGCACCTTGCCTCACTAATCTCCTACAGATGGGAGGAAGCTTTGAGGAGAGGCACATGAGGATCCTGGAGATGCTAGATCTCTAGCTGGCCATCTTTGGTCACTTTCCAAAATGCCAGGCATCTCATGTCTACCTCTATTTTTAATTAGGATTTACAGCCCATTCTTCCCTATGTCTTTCCATTCATTTATTTCTTCAACAAGTAATTTTCATACTACTACTCTAGGCAAGGCACTGTGCTAGAATAAGAGTGTTATTCCTTTTTCATACTTTTCTAATTAAAATGAATTGAACTGCAACTCTGAGGACTCCCTGTGCTGGTCTGAGTGAGCCTCTTTTGGTTTTCCAACACTTTGTCTTCCAGATTAAATTTGGGAGGCTCCAACTGAAGAGGATCAATGAGGATGTTTCCTATGAGATAGGAAGCCTGGCAGGTTGGGGATCAATTGAGTTCTACAAATAGGTGGCTGCCTCAGGCCTAGCCCATTTCCCAGATTCATATGGGGTATCCTCAACCGTAAACATCTCTGCCTGATAAACTTCTGACAGCAGCTTTGCTATTCTTTCTGTGCCTGAACGACATGAAGTCATGGACATCAGGATCTTTAGGACACCCTCATTATCACCAGGGCCTGGGTTATACACTGTTGGCTTAGGGACATAGCAAAGAAGGAGGCTGAGCATACTCAGAACTTCTTTCTCCTATAGTTTATAGTGGTTTATCAGAACTTCTTTCTCCTATAGTTTATAGTGGTCTCTGCCCAGTCGTAATACTAAAGGGGCCTCTGCTGAACAGGCTTTTGTCTCCCTCTTTCTCTGGGCCTCCTTTCATGATTACTCTGGGGAAAACTGGGGTTTCTTCATGCTTTGCGCCAATCTTTTTTGACAATCAGCTAACTTTTCTCCTTTATACAGACATAAATCTTTCCTTTAATGATACTACGATACTCAGAGGTCAGAGAGCACACATGAAATCACTGGGATCATCCTAAATAATCAAACTCTCACCCTAACGTAAGATAATTCCCCCATTTATTCTCTCAGACTGTTTGATACTCTTAAACACAAAGTCCATTAACCTGTTTCTCCTTCTAGTTAAAATCAGTTTTATTTCACAAACATTTCTATTCTATTGTGAGAGTGGAAATACCGGGTAACAGCAACCATCACAGGAGGAAACTGCCCTGCAAAACTGTCACACATTCAAAACATTTCTCACAAGAATCTTCTGGAATCAGATTGCACGAGATTTTCGTTAAGGTGTGAGAACACCACAATTCATCTCTATGCTTTCTTTTCCAAAGTACATGGCCAGGTTTGAATTGCTTTGCATATATCAACTCTTTCACATACAGTATACGTTTGCAGGTGGGAAAAGGCGGGGATATTTGAAAAAGGCAGGTTCTAGAGGAAAAGACAAAGATACATGAAACTGAACCCTGCTGTGCAGGATGCAGTAAGGTCCATGGGCACAGAAGCTGGCATGCTTGGGAATGTACAAAACTGACAAAGGGCTCAGAAACTTGCGAGTGGTGGAGGCAGGGGCGGCAGAGGCCAGGCCAGTATTTAGGAAACATCAGGGTTAATGTCCAGAATCTAGCAATATGTTTGGGAAGAAAAATTAAGAACAGTTGAAGGACAACTTACTTGGGGTTTGGAAGGAAGACATTCAAAGATATCAACAGATCAGGGTCACACATGGATGACAAACAAATGTGAAGACAGGACAATGGGTAACTAATGGGATTCCATTTCCTACTGCAGTTGGGGCAGGAGGAGGGAAAGCTGCAAGGGGAGGCAATCATGGTGGAAAGAGGTGAACAGGAAACCGAGGTCCATTTCTGACATGCTTTGCCTCCCTGCCTTCCTTATTCTACCGGCACAAAGGGATCTTCAACTCGCATCTTTGTTCCTGTGGCCACAGAGAGTGCAGAAAGCAGCCTCGTGGCCACTGCTGACCAACAGAGCTACCAAAGCTAACTTAGAAGGGAAATGACAATATGGAAAGTGGAACAGAGAAACAGCTCAGGGTTTCAAACTCCTGTGCATGTCTTTGTGTCTTATGAAAGGAGCTGGGGTAGCTAATCCACCCATCAGCCTTTAATGCTAAAATAGCTGATAATCTGGAGCCAAGAATATTTCCAAAAATACATGCAGATTTCCTTGGCCTATATATGTTATGAATTTTCTACAAACACGACCGATCAGAAAAAAGAGAGAGGAGAAGAAGAAAGAGGGAGAGGGGAGTGTTTTCCATTAAAATAGAGCACCTGTACACTGCCCCTCCAGACATGTTCTCAGAGTATCATCCACATGCACAGGCTTAAAGCTAAAAACCCTTGTTGTCTGTGTCTGAAGAATTAAAAAGTCCCGATGCAGTGAGTGTTTGTTTGTTTGTTTGTTTGGATTTTGATTGTTTATATTTTATGTTTTGTTTTTGTTTTGTTTTTTTACTGGCGTCCTCCATTCAAACATTTACATAGGTAGGGATTTCTTTTGTGCTTTGATTCTCAGCAACTATGGAAATACTTCCTGGCAAAACAGGAAACAGAACAACAAAGGAAAGAAAAGAAACACAAAGTTAGTGGTCATGAAGGATGATGTACTTGACAAGAGCGAAACTCTTTCCTGATCAGCAGGTCGCCTGTAGCCTTTGGGGGTTTTCCTTAAATTGCATACTGTGCCCCAGCAGATCCCCGCTTTGGCGTTGAAGGCGGAGTGGCGTGTCTTGCTCTTTGCAATCGGAGAGATGAGTCACCAGGTTGAGTAGAAGGGGAGGGAGGGGAGGGTAAAGCTACTCTCCTAAGAGAAAACGTGTAACACTTACTCATTTAATGACACTGGAAAGGGAAAGGTGTCAGAGACTTTGCAATGTGCTGCGATATCTTCCTGGTGAAGGAGGAATTACTACTTTAATAAAGCAAGTAGAGGTTGTGCTTCATACCCTACGGAAATGCAGCTGAGAACCAAATGATCCCAAAACATGCACTTAGAAGCTTTAGGAATGAGTAGACAGGGTGAATGCCTCTCTGGACTTGAAGACAGAAAAGGCTTTTATTCTTTTTAACCCCAAGCAATTACACATTTATTACCTCGTCTCCTCAAATAAAAGAAAGTGTACTGTGAAAATTGGACACCAGATGTGACTGCAGTTATCATTATCTATGATAGGAACCAGTCACTGCATTTAAATTTCCCCTTAACACAGCCACAGACCTTTCCCATATTCATTTAAAGAGGGTTATGTTTCCATTTACATACTCATTGTTTTCCAAGTAAGATTAAAAATTGTATGTAAAGGCCTTCTAGGTCTTTATCACATTAGAGTGGAGCATGAATAGTTATATAATAATTTATTCACTGTTGCCAGCAATGCAGGATCTAAATGTAAACATATAAGGCTTCAACTCCTAACGCCAACAGACAGGAGGAACCAAAGAGAGAAATGGATCAGCAATAGTGGCTTCATGGGTTTGCCTAGCTTCCTGGAAAATTTCTTCTGCAACAAATAGCAGAATTTAGCAAGTGAACGTCAGATTCTCTACACCTCATTGTTGGATTCCCGTGCCTACTTCATGGGCAGAGAGAGCACCAATGAAATATGACAAAGTCCATTTGACAACTTCTGGTAAGGGACAGTCAAAAAAGAGGAAGAACTTTGCTAATCTGCTCTGTAATAGTCTCACCCACCAGTGGTCTCTCTCAGGATTGCTCCACTCCCTGGATGTCTGCAAACTTTATGCCTCTTGTCCTCAATCTTAGGTTCCAAATCTCCTGAGGGAAAGTTCCTAGACTACCAATAGATGTAAAAAAAAAAAAAAAATTCCCCGGATGATCAGGCTGGCCACTCTCATTATGTCACTCCTCTACTGGTGTTCCGGAGCAGTCTGCCCTCCTTAGGGCTGTATCCAGTTGAGGTTACCACGTTTCATACTAGTCAATACATATCGTGTCCTGCAAACCCTGCCCTGCCCTCTGGTCCACCAGCCCTAGCCTCTGAGGCCTCTCCTTCTTATACACTATTAAAGCAAATGCTTTGCTGTTTGCCCATAAACATATAACATTTTAACATTTTAAGCCCAATATTTTAGGGAGGGTTTTGCAAAAGGAGGAATAAACTAATGAGAGAAAAAAACTAGATAGAAGCAAGAGGTTTGTTTGTTTTTCCCCCATCCCAAATGAGAGGAGGCAGGGAAAAAGCCATCTTAGCTGTTTCTCTCAGGGCTGTTAGAGCAGAAGAAAGTGGTTATGTCAAGCCAGAAAGGGGTTAGAGAGAGAGTCAGCCATTGCCTACTCAGCTGAACAGCTGGTGGCTACTGGGAATCATTTACCTATGAGCTGGGATTCCACCTTCTCATCTATAAGCTGGCCAGGCCTCCTTAGTTCAGTCTGAGGGACATTGGGCCTGCTTTCAGAGTGACTGACTGGACTGATCATCTCTTGTTCTTTCTCATTCTGCATCTGGGCATAAACATTAATCCCCGGGATCTTCCTAAAATATTAATAGAAACCATCACTGCTGTGCACATCACTGTAACACATGCTTCTGAACCTGTCAGGGAGAAGGAAGAGGTCAGGGGTGGGGGGACGTGGAGGGAGGGACACGCACCTTTTAAACTTGTAGATGACGAACACCGCCAGCCCCACAAACACCACTGAGAGCAGCATCAGCATGGCAGATCCACTGTGGGTTGGAGTGAGGTCCACCAGGGGGGCTGGGGAGGGGAAACAGAGCAGAGAAAAATGAGTAGAGAACTGGGCAGGTGAGACACTATGAGAGGTTCAAATGGTTCACACGCAAGCATGGTAAGTCCCGGAAAACCATGTGGGGTATACACACAAGAAGCACGTCACATGACTGACATGGGATGCATCTAGGCCCACCCCTACTCCCACTCCAAATGTTCCTGCTCTGCAGCAAAGCAATGAAAACTGCAGACCCCAGGGCCAGGCTGTCTGTATTCAAGTCCCACTCTAAGTAGCTATGTGGTCTTGGGCAAGTTGCTTCACCTTAATGTACCTTATGTGGCAAATTAATAACAATGGTATATACGTCACTGGGTTCTTATGAGGATTAAGTGAGCTAATGTATGTCAAGCAGTGAGAAAAGTGCCAAGCACATAGTAAGTCACGTAATTACTAGATTTCATTTCTACTGCTGCTAGTATTATCAATCAATATTTATAACAATATAATAATTGTATTTTATTATACTCTGAGTGTAAACTTTTTCCACAAAGCAAAACAGATTGCCAATAAAACCACATGCAGGAATATATTTGTGAATTCAACCACCCCCTCACCCCTACTCCAGTAGTTGTCATGTGAGAAAAATAATTGGAAAGTTGTCATACGTGAGAGAAAGAAAAGCAAAGTGATGGAGCATGCTTGTATTTCTGTACACAGGAAACTGATGGCCAAGTGAATATTTCACAAGGCCAGCCGCTGACATGCTGAAGGAGGGATATGCCACCTGTTTGGGGAATTGTCTCAACAATTTCCCAAAAGCTCTGACAGCCCTCACCAAGATGCTCCAGCCTCTCAAATACAGTGAGTTTTTCTCCCAGACAAAACAGAAGCCTCTGCCTCCATAAAAGAGTCTCCCTCCCTGAGTTTCGCCTTAAAGCGCAGTCTGGAAAACACTTCTCTCCACCTGTACACCTTCTGCCATCTCACAGTCAAACCTGTTGTACCTGTAGACTTTGCAATTAATTTCTATCCTCTTAAAAGCTGACATTTTGCAAACGTAGCGTAGCTCACGCATAAAAGACAAGCCACATGTACTCCAGGGAAGCCTTGGTGCTGACCTTTACCTTCCATCAACTTAAGCAAACTCTGATACCCAGAAATACAGGTGACCTTTAATCGCCATTTTCTGTGGTTTTCTCTGGTGTGAGCTGAGAGGGCAATGTTCTAGTCACCCAGGTAAAAAAGTTCAAGAATAAGTGACTATAACACTGATGGTCTCAGACAAGATTCTCAGTTGCTTCTGCTCTACTTTTTTCAGGATTACATCTCAGCCACTCTGTATTGATACTGGAAAGCATATTGCATCTAATCACATAGTTTTGGTGAAAAATGAAAATAGTCATTTCAGGAGAGTTGGCTTTCAGGAGGCACTGAATATAAGGAACCCCCCACTATTTTCTCTCCCCTGTAAGTCAAGCATCACCTCAGTTTTGAAATGGGAGTATGTGAGTTTGTGTGTAAAGATGAGGTGGGGGGGTGTCCCACTGACGTGAAACATCCAAGGCAAATTTTCTTTTGGTTCAAAATTAGGAAAGAAAGCTCTCAGTACCATCGGTAGAGAAGTCCAGAAATTCTTCAGAACTCACCGTGCAACTGGTAGGATGTGATCAGGGGAAGAGAACACCTTCCATTTGTCATAGACATTATCACAATTGATTTTCACAAATGGAAGGCAGTGATTATGATCCCATTAAACAGATAGCAATGAAGTTCTCATTGGTTAGCATTGTTTTAAAAGGACTTAGAACTTACTAGTAAACGGAAGAACTAAGACTTGAACCCGAATCATCATATACGCACGTGCACACACACACACACACACACACTTTCTATATACTCAATCCTGGGCTAATTTCAGTAAAATATATATTTCTGAGGATGGGGATTAGGACTAAGACTATAGCACAAGAAGCAAATTAACAACTGGCACAAGTTGAAATATTAAGTTTTAAAAGGAGCAGTAGGAATAATAAATCATGTACTCTTAAGTTTGGAAGACAGGTATATGTACACATATATGCATACGTGTGTATATGTGTATGGATATGTGTGCATGCAACCACACACACACACACACACAGAGAATACAGAAATGAAGCCTCTTGTACCTACCACCCAGCTTCAACAACCATCAACTGACAGCCAATCTTATTTTATCCAGTTCCCACAACCTCCAACCACTGGATTATTTTGAAGTAAATCTTGGAAAACCTATAATTTAACCACCTGTAACTCTAAAAGATCTCTCTCTCTCTCTCTCTCTCTCATTATTATCACAATACCATCATCACATCAAGGAAATTATATTAGGAAGATGTTTTAAAGGCAATCTTCTAACACAAATCCTTCATTTTTCAGGGAACAATGGAGGCTCAAAGAGGGGCCACAGATGATTGGAATGGTTAGAGGTTGAAATAAAGCTAAACTTTTCACTCCCAGCTAAATGCTCTTTCAGCATAACCAGAATACCAGTGATATGAAGCAACTAAGAATACTGAGCTTGCTTGAAAAGGTTGACATTTGAAATAAATGGAAAACTAAGAGAGAAAATTACTTTGTCCAAGCTGTCAGCAACACAGAAAGCAAACTCGCATATGCATGCATGCGCATGCGTGCGCGCGCACACACACACACACACACACACACACACACACACACACACACAAATGAACCTTTTCCCTTCTCTTTCCTTCCTCCTATCTCTCCCCATCCCCAGGTTAAGTCTTTCAATTCTAAATCATTTACACTTAAATCATCATTCTTCAACAAGCAGCATTAACACTGTTAAGTAATTAGCATATTATTCTGGGAAAATGAACTTCTGTATCCCAGTTCTAAAATGTGTGTTATCCTTTCGCCCTCCCCATCTCTGCATCAGTCAGTCACTTCTCAGAGGCAGGAAGCAGGAAGCAGGAAGCAGTCAGCAGCAGTGGCCAGAGACTGACTACCACTGCCCTCTGTGTTCTGTGGGTGGCTTCTGTTTGCTGATCTGTGCCTGACTATAAACAGACCTATTATTGCTCCACACAACAGCAGCTGCATTTCTTAGTTTGCCCAACACTTCGGTGCATTTGTGTGTGTTTTGCTGAGGAATGGAAACTTGTGATAAATGGGCTTTAGCTTGTTGTGTGGAATTAGCATACATTAATCCCTTTCCAGTTGCAGCTTAAACAAGGTAGACGTGTAGGAAAAGTGCTGAGCAGTTTTTTGCCATTATTCATGCACAAAGTAAAACATGGATACGAGCAGTTCTTCCAAGTGACTCAACATTTCTAAGCCTGCGTACTTGCACATATCATTTCTAAAATCCTTTGAGGAGTTTGGAAATGCATTGAATTTTTATATTTTATTCACGAGGACCTGGGATGATAATAACGGGAACACTTACAATAATAACAACAATTTTCTTGTGAAAAGTGATTGCCATGTAGTAAGTGCTAAATAAGTGGTTATAGTAGTATGTATGAGAACAAATTCAAAATTCCACCTTTGGGGTTCAGAAATGATATGATCCCTTTTCAGAATCAGACCTGGCTCCGTCACTTATAGATTAAGTGACTTATATTAAATCTCAGTTTCTCATCTGCAAAATGGAGATGAAACTAGTGTTTGGTCTAGAAAGTCGTGAGACTAAAATGAGATGGAATTTATAAAGCACTGTCATAGTATTTGGGACAGACTGCATGCCCAATATTTCTAACCTTGTCATTTTAATGCTATCGTATTTCTGAAAGTGTATTCTTCTACAGAAAAAAAATCCTGAAAACTGATGACAGTTCTATGGTGAGATAATTTGGGGCAATGATACATACAGCATTCCTCATGTGGAGATTCACAATGTACGTTAGTATCTTAAAGGGTCACAGCAGCCCTTGCAGAAAAGAACACATTTAACTTTACCATAGTCTTTCATAAACTCATTTGACCACAGACCCTTTGCAGAACTAGGTTCCATGTAACACTCTAGGAAATGCCTCTCCCCAGGCACTGCTTTCCCTGTTGCTGCAGTTTTTTCGTTTTATTTTGTTTTTAGATGAAATCTTGCTTTGTCACCTAGACTGGAGTGCAGTGGCACGATCTTGATTCACTGCAACCTTCTCCTGTGTTCAATCAATTCTCCTGCCTCAGCCTCTCAAGTAGCTGAGATTTCAGGAACCCGCCACCACGCATGGCTAATATTTTTTTTTTTTGTACTTTTAGTAGAGTTTGGGTTTCACCATGTTGGCCAGCCTGGTCTTGAACCCTAACCTTGAGCGATCCACCTGTTTTGGCCTCCCAAAGTGCTGGGATTACAGGTGTGAGCCATCACACCCTGCCCCCCCTTGCTGCAGTTTTGCCCTTTGCTTGGTTTATCTCCAAGTTTTAAGGTCAATAACATGGTAGCATCACCCAGTGAAGCCATGCAGAATAATCTTATTGTTGTCCAGTGTTCACTTTCATTCTATCAAAAGGACCTTCCTGGAGAACTGCTACTTGCACTATGACCCCGAAACTTTCAACTCTAATTCTAATCCAACAGAGTTAGTGCTGTCAGGATGTTGCAGAAGTAATTTACCATACCTTGATTTTCTTTTTTCCTCTCCTGACCCCAAAGTAGATCAATTCAGGTTTGAGTTACATGCCTTGAATATCATGAAATCCATGTGGTCTGAAATATTTTTTAAGAATTACAGTGATATGGGAATAGCACAGAGAAAGTTTATGCAGAATGCAGAATGGGCGGAAAGGCTTCTATTTACAGAGAACTCTCGGTTGTCCAATGGGCCTTTCCTCCATTTAGAAACAAATCCAATCATGAGAGTCTTAAAGTTTGCTACGTTATTGGTATAAAGCCACAAGACTGCAGACCAGACTAGGTGGGAATTTCCAGGGAAGTCTCTTGTTAAAGTAGCCAATTGGGAGGCCATTAGACTGAGGCAGCTCTGGAGTCCTGGGTTCCTATGTAAGCAAACCAAAATCCAAGTAA